AATAAAAGTCATCACGGCGGCACGCCGCACAGTGGGGTATTTATTAATTCTAGCTGGCCAAAAATATTTAACCACTCTAACTTGTCACAAACATCTTATTATTCAAGGATAATAATTTTTTTTGGTAAATAAAGGGTGGAGTCATGTTTTGGAGGGGGGGGAGGGTCATGTTATAATGATGTTTTTTTTTTAACTTGTAAGTCGTTGAGTATTGTTCGGATTTAGTTACCGTCAAAGGATGAAATGTTGGGAAATAATAATACTTTAAACAAAAAAAATATAAAAATACACTTACATCTGCGGTCAATTAAAAAAGCACGAAAGGCCGAACTTTGCTTACAAACTTGCAGAATTTGGCATGTTGTAACTTTGTTCTGTTATGATCAATTAAGCTGAAAATATGGCACAGAACCACAAATATGCTGGATTTTGCGTGAACAAAAGCCAAACTTCTTGAAACTCCTGGAAAAATGGCGATATGGTTATAAATATTTAAAATAATAGCGTTTTTGATATTCGAAACATTTCAAGATCCTTATATTAAATTATTTTTCGTACACATTCACCATAGTTTGGTTCTGCATAACAATATTAGCTTAATTGAATATAACAAAACAAAATTACATAAAAGTTGGCTAATTTACATAAAAATCCACCTATGATGGTATTTTTTTGGCTGCAGGTGTAAAAATCTATAAGAAAATAAAATATTAAAGATTTTTTTTAAAGTTTTACAATCAGTCATTGTAAAATAAGTTCAGCTAAAAAAGAACAAGATATTTATTTATATTTAGATTTGAGATTTAAGGTGAAAGTCGATGGAATCCACAAATGGCCGCTATTTGGTTTATTTTGCCTTGCCACTTCGAATTTTCATATGTTTCATATGTTTCTTCCAACCTATCTTCGCTTTCTTGCATGAAGTCCTCTGAGAGTAACATTTGCAATGTTTCTGTCGTCAAAACCCTTGACTTTTTTCGCGGGATTTTAATTAATCCTAAAAGAATATTTATTTACTTTCACGTTGTTTACCTGTGATTTCAGGATCAGAACTAAATACTAAGAACTAAGTCTATTCAGTACATCCATGTTGTATAGCTTCTTCTGACAACTGCCCTATTGGTAGCAGTGCATGTTCTATAACTGTGGATTAAAATTTAATGCAGAATTTGAGTCATCGGATACCATGAATACAGTCGAACGTATATCGCCGCCGTTTCTTGAGTAAATGTTTCAAACGTATCAATTTTAAAACCACTAGCTGGTGTTTCCAATTTAACTTTAAGCTGGTAGATCAAATTAAAATCAACACCTGTTATATGAGCAGTGGTTTCCGGATCAGCAAATAATCTTAGACTAGTGTTGCCATCCGAATTTCCAAAGCCTGGTTTTGGAAAATCCACAAGTAGTCCCAATTTCTTTCTGAAGTTTTCTTAAATGTGATCTTTTCTTTCTTTTGCGATTTGCTTTTCATTGCCAGCTAACCATTTTTTAATCGGCAAATTGTAAGAAAGATGTAAAATTGCCTCGAAAATACGAATCTTGGCATGAAAAATCCGAATTTAAGAGAATCTGTGTTAATTTCCTTTTTAACACCAAGATTATTGAATTCCTCTGAACTTGCGCCACATACATAACATTTCATCGTTGGTGTTTCAGCTGCTGCATTACACACTTTTCCATCAACCATAGTGAGGATAAAAGTATGTCTAATAGTGAACTGCTTGCCATTTAATGTAACTTTTGTTAAACGTAGCGAATTAATTGCATTTTAATATATCTGATCTCTTCATTAATTACCTCAAATGATTCCTTGATAAACCTAATGTGGATTGGGCCACAGTAGCGAGGTGAAGATGGAGTTGGGTTTTGCCAAACTATGTTTGCATTGGATCCACAAACTATTCTCAACTGTGGAACACGCTCGTATCAGAATCCATATCCATACGCACCTGATGGAATTATGAAACAAGAAAAATATACCTGAAAGGCAACACCCCCCCCCCCCCCCTTCCCGCTCCCAAAACAAGGCCTTGACTGCCAAGGTTGCCGCCTTGACCGATGTATAATGAATGAAAATGTCTATAACTGTATTTGTGTACTTTTTTTGATAAATTCACCTATATGGACAGGCCATCTTCATTTTCCAATACCTCGAAAGATCGCAAATGATCGCAGCTGATTTTTTGCTATAATCTTCTATACATATGTACATATAATGCCTCATATACGGCTTTACAGGATATTACAGGATAAGTCAACTCTTTTATCACGATACATTTATTTTATAGTTTAAATAGCACTTGAAGACAAGATTTTCATAAACTGCTTCTACGAAGTCAAAACTAAGTGAAATCAGCTGTTGTCACGTGGAACATATATTTCATTACCTGCTTGATCACTATCCACTTTTGCAAATTAATGTGATTAGCCCAACAACAAGTAGAGACACGAAAACAATGGCACTGCGGAACGATTTTTTCTAACAAACCAACACGATTCAACAACAGGCAAGTTTGAACTGATGCCACAACGCGGTCAGTTTAGAAAAAGAAATAATGAGTACAGGGCAATGTTACCCTATCTCTGAAGTATACAATGCATGCATTCAGAATCTGTTTTGGCTTATTTTGAGAAATCGACTTTTGGCCAGCTAGCGTAGAACAAATACCCCTCCGTGCGCCGATTCAAAAGCGTCGTCGGCGGCGGCGTGTGAAAATTGTCAGCAGCGGTGGCGTAGCGCGACGTAGCGTGGCGGCTCTCAGGCCTAATTATAAAAAGGAAAAGTTGCAAAACCTCCGAGTATGAACTATTTTCAAGATTTTGGGAAATCAGAGTCAGTGACCTTGGATTTCGAAAAAAATACCAAACTTAGAAACATTTGCAATATCTAGGAGTGAAAACAATTTTCAAGCATAAAGGCTTAGTTATTTTTGAGATCCCAGACCAAGATGATTTAGGGTCTTTTTTAATCTGTTGTATAAAAATAGCGTAGTATTTTTATACAACCTGGGATTTGATTTTTTAAATAAGTGAATAACCAGGTCCATAAATAGATCAATATTCAATGGCCTAGGATTTGACAAATTTATGTTAGAATTTAAAAAATTTAAACTGGTATGGTTGCAATTTTTATTCTACTTTACCATATACCTATATTAAGAGTAGCACCACCAAGAATGAATTGAAAAAGAACTATTGGAGGCTTGCTGGAACATTTAGAACCCTGCTAAGCACAGTTTGTTTAACGACCTACAGAGGAAAAAAAGCACAGTTTGTAAACCACTACCCTGACAAAAATTTGAGATTCTCTTTCTCTATTTCTTTCCTATTCCCATAGTTTTCAAAAAAAATCTTATGAAAAATTTAACTTTTGGATTTCATTTTGCAATTTTGTTGATATTCTTATTTAATTTTGCAAAAATGCAATTTAGTTTACCGCTATAATGTTAAATGCTCTTAAAACTCTTATTGTAAATTTCAATGAATTCTCATGGTAAACTTCTTAAAATTAACTTGGTACACTCATTGCAAATTCACTTCAGAACTGCATTTGAATATTGCTATGAATTTTTGAACTTTCTTCTGAATTTTCTAAAAAAAAATGTCCGTAGAATTCTTCTCAGTGTTTTCAAATATTTATTCCAAATTCCATTGAAATTCTCCTCCTTGGACATGATCCTCTCATAATGTCTATGGGACTTGTTCTCAGGACACTCTTTAAATTGCTTTAAAAAAAAAACCCTCGCATTATTCTCTAAGAGTGCTGCCAGAGCTAATCAGAAATCCTTTTAAAAAATCCATGTTATTCATTTCTCCTGGATTCATTCTCATTTGTTAAACCATCCTCGGAATTCTGTACCCTTAGAGAAGACTCGGGATTGTGTTAAAAATCTGCTCAGAACTGCTTTGGAACAATATTTAGGTCTTTAAGCGATTATTTTTTCTTCATTAGGATTTTATTGAACATCCGGATTATTGGCAGCATCAGCTGCTTATGGTAGGGGAATTCCTCAAGAAATTTTGATATTATTCTTGCTTATACTGCTTTGCTACTACTACTACTGCCAACGAAAAGGAAGTTATGGATTGATTTCTTCAGAATGTTATAGAAAATATCGTTAACATTAACTTTAATTCCTCATTACTATTCTCATAGCATTTTCTTAAGAACTATCCCTAAATATTACTAATTATTCACCACAAGATTTTCAAGATTTGCTGAAGATTTTTTTTATCATCGCTTTGAACTATAGCTCGAATTGTTTTAAAATTCTCTTCAAAATTTCTTTGAGGATTGATCTCAAAATGCTCAAGAAAATTCATCGAAGTGCCAGACTTTTGAAAGAAATTCCAATTCTAAGAACTTTCAAATGTTCCAAAGTCCAGAATATTCTATTATGTTTCCAAGTGCAGTTTCTTAGTTTCATCGAAACATGATGCTTCTTTCATTTATCTAGAGTTTGAAAAAAAATGTTTTTTTTTTCAATAACCATAAAATTCTATTCAATTTATGCATTTACGTGTTTCCTGTCGAATAGATTAATCTTCAGGATGATACTTTCATCTATTGTTGTAGGAAAGCTCTGACAACCGCGTATATTACCAACTACACTTTACAATATAATACACGTTCCACTTATTTAGCGATCAGTAATGGTCAATTACTCTCTCAAAAACCGTAGCCATAAAATAGTTATGTAGTTGTACACCGAAAACAAAATAATAGATGTAGTCGATACATACTAATCCAGCACTAGTCTCTAGATTATCCCAACGGTAAGGTTGAAACCATTAACATCTCATCTGTGTTGTCTCTCTTTTTTTACTTTTTTCTCTCTTTTGCATCCGTCAACTTCATCAATAATAAACCGAACTTCTCTGTTTTGCAATCGATTGCGAAAATTTCTTCTATCATCCACCATTGCAAATGAAAATTATCCGACCCATTTCGAATCAAATCAAAACCGAAAACCACCCATTTGACCACACTCATCCAGGTAAAGATGATACTAAAAAGTTATCGTTGTCCATAGATTCGATAGAAACGTCACCTCAGTTAGAAACACATCGACGATCGAAATCGATCCTTAAAAATAAATCAGAAGCGTCGAGACTTTTGTCCGATCCAGAAAGCGAAAGACTATTGGCTGACAATATGTCTGGATCCGGGGTCTCGGATAACGGTGCCAATATGGTAAATTTGATTTTTGAATGTCGTTTGAATGAGCATAACCTGTTTTTAGCCCCCTATTTAGACAACGTCCAGTTCTTGAGTTTCGTTTTGTGCCTTTCGTAATGATCTTCTTTTTTGATTTTGAAAATAAGTTCTTCACACAGCATTAAAAATATACATTCAGTTCCCTTTGACGTTCTAGAGAAATTTTTGATATCATTTAGCAATTTTGTAATACCCGTTAACCGAAATTTTAGAGCCTTTGCAGTCCCAGCATAAGATCTTGTATTTTGCAGTCCTAGTTTTTGTATAATATTTTCAAATCTGTGCTCTCCACTGTTGCTCCTGTCCCCGTTAGCTTTGCTCCAAAGTGTCACCAACAATCTCTGTGTGTTTTTGTGTCCAACTATTCCCATTTCTTGTTTCATTGCACGGCTGTTGACTGTTTGAAATTCTAACCCTCTAGTAAATGGCTATACACCTTACTAACACCTGTGTGGAACGACTAACCGTAACTAGCTCCGCAATCTTGCTGTTTGTTAAATAGTTACCTTACCCCCACCGGTCTGCCGGTCCGTTCCCGTATTCAAACTAACAATTTTTTCACTGTAAACCCACATCACAGGGGAGCGACTCAAATACTGACTACTCCGGAAGCACAATGATCGCAACCTCCATCACACCGATAGCACAACGACACCGTCTAGTGCACCAGCGTTCGACACCTGCCTCGTTGGGCAGCAGAGCACCGGCCAAGTTCCAGCAGCCACGCTTCTCCCAAGAGGATTTTGCCCGGCAGAGCAAACCACAACTCACCAGGGGCGTCGGTGTCGGTACGTACGTCGATCATCTTACCGGTGATCGCCGGCTGGACACAGAGACTAGGGAAAGTAGCACAGGTACGCGACGAGCATGTGACTTCAGAACCATCACTACATATTATCCTTTCGTTTTAGAATCGGAAACGGCATTCTCAACATATCTTGCAGCTAGTAATAGTAATAATAAGGACAAAACATCGTTCGCCGGTAGTAGTTTGACGTCGAGTGATGAAAGTAAGACGACCACCAGCAGGGGGAATTCGGTGGAAAACCACGGCGGAAGTAGCGGCTACGGAGCATCGTCATCGTAGCAGGTGAGTTGAGAATTTGAGACATTTACTAACATCAAAATTCCCTACTTACAAACAGGGTTACTTCCACTCACTTGCTATAAAAAGATGTTTTTCGGAATTATGAAATCCTGAAATAGTAAATTACGACCGGGAGCTTCGGATTCGCGTTTTTAAAAAACAACTGTTCACAACTAACGCTAAACATCCAGTGAGCTTTATTCAATTTTGGTATTATAAAAATGGTTCTACCTATTAAACTGCATATGCTGCATTTCCTGTTGTTGTTTACTCGGAGCTGCTTATGCTGGCGGTTTATCGTGGACTTCGGTTCCGTGGCTGCTTACCCTGGTGAATGTGCTGACCAGGTGTGACATCGATCGGGCGGTATCGACTGGGTTAATGGCCGGAATGCTGACTGCGCTGGCTGATGATCGAGGTGTTGGTTAGAATGTTGACTCTGCTGGCTGGTGCGATGATCGGGTGGTTGGCCGAAGTGCTGACCGTGCAGAGTGGTGTGTTGACTGATGTAATTGTTGGCTGTACTGTGGCTGGTATGATGGCTGGTGTGATGGATGATATGATGGAGCCGTTGGTAACTAGTATAATGCTAATGAACTTGCAAGTTACAAGAAGAGGTCATGAAGTATATGTTTGACACATACAATCTGTCAATATTGCTTTCAGTGCGTCACAATCAGCGATTTCACGACTCGTGAGCGCTCACTCAGAGTGAACGCTCACGAATCATAAGATCGTTGATTGTGACGCTCTGAAAGCAAAACTGACAGGTTTTATGAGTCAAACACATACTTTACACCCTCTTCCTGTTACTTAAAAGTAAAACATACCATTATAACATCTAACGATTGCAAAATTCCGACAAATATTTTTGTATAGCAAGTGAGTGGAAGCAACCCTGCTTACAAATCTTGTTTGATTTCCGAGTACTTCTATTAAGATTTCAAATTCCTATGTCGTCTAGGAATCAACTGTTGGAATTCTACGAACTTCATCTAATCATACTAAGATGCTGGTCTATTTCAGCTTCGTCTGAAATTTTATAAAATTTAGCTGAAACAGACGTAAGTTTTAAAATCGCGGACATACATTCCAAACAGTCAAGTCGATAGGTCTCTGCTAGCCGTCGTTGCTTAATCACTGTCTGAACTGTCTCTGCAGTTCTGAAAATATGTGTGCTACATTACATGTACTCGTATTACATGTTTGCGCGAAATGGGCTCTGTTTACAAAAGCTGATAGGCACTTTTCGAGATGTGTCAGATTTTGTGAAAACAATGTTATGAAAGATTTGATTCAAATAACATCTTTCATCCTTTCAACGAAGACTATCCCTTAGTTATTTTTAATCAATGTATTTGTCAAGGCTCAATTGCGATAGCTTTGTGAAGCCGTAATGAAAAGTATATCAACAAGATTTCTTTAAGGTTGAAAATTCTCATTTCGCCTAAAGCCATTTTTTTCGGAACAATTGAATTATAAGATGTTATGAGCACATGTTTTACTAATAAGTTACAAGCATACAAACGCATACTTTGCAACCTCTTCTTTTACTAATAAAAAATATGATCATAATCATAAGCATCTAATAGTTTCATAATTTCGTAAAACGTTGTTTTATCTGAAATGAGTATTTGCAAACGGAAGTGGACTGGATAAAAGGTACATAGGGGCGAGCATGGCATTTTATGGGGGTGAATTTTTGGTTTAATCTCCGTAGCCGTTGTATCGGTGATTTAACGTGGGTGAAACACTGCAGAGCCGAGCAAGTGCTCTAGGTTACGAAAGGTGAACGGTCGATTTCTCAAATTCCCTGGGCATAGAGTATCATTATGCTTGCCACACAATAAACAAATTCATACCTTGGTTGGCATGGAAAGCTCTCAATTAATAAGTGTGGAAGTGCATCTAGAATACTAAAACCCATATTCTTGATTTCGTTCGAACCGTCCAAACGATACAAAAAAATGTGTATAGTTCTAACAGTTCGAACAAAAACACGAATATGGGTGTATGTTCAGAACCGACAAAATACTCGCAAAATAATCTTACAAAGTCTATAACAAGAAGAATATATCTCCAGAACCAGTCCATGATCTATTCCAAAAATAAATTTAATGCCGTTCTATGAGACCATGGTACCTTTCAATTGACAGTTGCTGTGTCTAATTTGGTGCTGTGGTTGCTGAAAATCTGAAAATGTGAATCCGTATTCATCGGAACATGCTCCAAGCATATCTCTAGAATAATTTGACTGGATCCAACAATATGGGATCATGGTACCTTTCATTAGGCGGTTGTTGCGTCCTATTCGGTAAAGTGGATGTTGAGAAACCAATCTAGGAAAATTTAAACACCTATTCACCGAAAAATTATCCGGTCTAATCTCTGGAACCAGTTGACCAATTTCAAAAATATTCAAACGCGTTCTGTGGGACCACGATTGGCGCTTGTTGTGTCCAATTTCGGGCAATGGTTGTTGAGAAACCGATATCGCAAAATTTTAATCCGTGTTCTTGATTCGTTACGTTTTTGTATTCGTAACAAAAAAGGTATTGATTAATGGTTCTTCCATCTCTTAAGACAGTTTCATCTTGATCAAGTCTTCTTTAACCCCCAGGGTGCCACGCCACATGCGTAGCGATGTTGTGACACAGCTTGTCTGTCCCGTTCCCGAGAAGCACGTTTGTTCACAGCATCGCCACGCACTTTGCACCCTTCCCAAGTAACAATTTGGATTTTATGAAGGTTCTGTAGACCATGGTTTAGATTTGAAGAATGCTTTAAAAACACGATAAAACTGTCAATGTTACTTGTGTTGGGATTTTGACAGTTAATCATAACTTCAGAACTTGAAATTGTCATCACCATCGGTTTGTATTCCCGAAAATGACCAGCTCGTACCCACCCTTCGCTTACATCGAATTCGATTTCTCGCAGCTGATGTGACGTTGATACAATCCAGATCAAATAGTCAACCATTGACGTTCAGTGGACCAATCTGATATCGGTAGATCGTTCTGTTTCGGAATCTTTAAAGGCATCTCCCAACTTGGACGCTCCTAAACATGGACATAATTCACAGGATCGAGCAGCAGTAAAATCGTCGCCATCGCTCTTCTGTTCTTCTTCGCATCTACCGCCGGCAACGTTCCATCAGAATTCGGTGTAGGCTTCACGACGTCACATAGCTCTTCCAGCTCTAATAATTTTCAGGTTGTCCAGTCCAAGTCCTAACAAACGCTGTATCGCAGGCAGACTTGATAAGCTATATTTAGCTAAGGAGCAGGTTAACGCCAAATCACGAATCGATTTACACGAAGCTTTGCATAATTCTCGCGCAACACGAGAAAAAGGCCTGTCATTGTTCTTTCCTTTATTTAACGTCGGTCTCTGTTCCGCAATCTAATGCCAATCACCGACGGACATCGATTGCCATCCATTGACGGCAATCGAATGTGCAGGAAGGCAGCTTCCACACCTGCGTATGATATCGCACCCATTCAATTCAACACACATGCGCCGGGACCAACGGCTTTACTTCCCTTCCGAAGGAAGACGTGACCAGAGATTTTTATGCCTCAGAAAAATCCCACCGACCTGGGCTGCGATTGAACCCAGACCCATCGGAGTGTTAGAAAGCAGTCACGCTTACCACTACACCACCGGGGCCGGCCTTGCCTATCATTGTTGATCGATTCTCTTCATCGATTTTCTCTTTCGCGAATAACCCGACTGCAAATAAATTTCCCATTCAGTGTGTTGATTTAGGCGCAAGCTAACACCATCTTCTGTCGAACTGTGCTGCGAGCTTAGCGAGAAATTCGTTTATGTTGCCAAAGAGAAAGTCGATGAAGAGAATCGATCAACGAGGATAGGCTTTTTTCAAATGTTTCGCGAGAATTGTTTGTTACGGGCAGTTTTTTTTCATATTTCTGCAAAAATTCGGACATTGTTGATCTTGTTTATTTTTGAAAATTGCGTTTTAAAAATGTTTCAATAAATTTTAGCACGAAATTTAAGAAAAAGTTGTTGATAAAGGTTTAGCCATGGAGATTAGTGCATCAATAAGACGCATTTCATTCAGTGTCGGTAACAGTCCATGGATCAACTTGTGTGTAGTATCAACTGTCATATTATGGTTTAACTGCAGAAATAATTTGACCTAGTTGACCGATCATTTTTAAACTTTCAGACAATAAAATATAACCCATTTGTAAGCTTTTGGCATATATTTTTCATTCAACTTCATCCGATCCATAACCGTACGATCGCACCTTACGCTTAACTCCACTCATTAGGTTCTGTACAACATCTGGCTGCAGCTTCTTCTGCACCCACTTTTTCTTCATGTCTTCCTCAGATTTAACCTCCTTGGGATGCTTCCGTAGTGCCTGCTTCAGAATAGCCCAGTATTTTTCTATGGACCTTAATTCCAGTGCGTTGGGAGGGGGGGGGGCATGTCCTTGGGTACGAAAGTGACCCCGTTGGCTTCGTACCACTCCATGACAACATTTGAATAGTGGCACGAAGCTAGATCCGGCCAGAAGATCGTAGAGCCCTCGTGTTGCTTCAACAGAGGAAGCAGACGCTTCTGTAGACACTCCTTGAGGTAGATCTCCCCGTTTACAATCCCGGTAATCACGAACGGCGCACTCCGTTTGCCACATGATCAGATCGCTTGCCAAATCATGTATTTCTTGGCAAACTTTGAAACATTCAAAGTGTTTTTATGTTACTTCATACGCGAAGTTAACGATTTTCAGAGTTGGTTGGAAATGCTAACATGAAGCTTTAGTGTGATGATTTATTAGCTAGAGAATGATCTTTTAGAAGAGGGTAGGTGAATAGTTCCGTTAGAGTACGGCAGTATGAAGCGAAGGGCCATTAATGCGACAATTTTTGAAGATAGACGCACATCTTTTGCCTAACCCGTACGATGTACGCGGAGACTTGAAGTATGTCTCCAAGTCTACAGGCAAAAAATGTGCGTCCCTCTATTGCTCATAAACTGACTGCGGCTGTGGAATAGTTAACCTATGTTTCAGATAGAGTTTGTAATGACAATCGTCACAAGCGTTTTGTCTAGATTTTTGCTTGCTCTCAAGGGCCACCCACATTAGATCCGTTTGCGTTGCGTTGACGTTAATTTGACAGTTAGACAATAGATTTAGCTGTCATTTTATCGCAACGCGTCCGATCCGGATCTAATGTGCGTGGGCGTGTTGATACCCTGCGTATGGAAATACTAGGGTTGACTGTATCTTACCTTAACACCTTCTTCCCCAGCTATTTGTCCCTAGTTACGTTTTTCAGGAAACATATTCTGTGCTCTACTCGTGCCAGAAGCCCTCTTATAAGTCTTAATTAAGATACATCTGTTGATTATGGTAATTTGAATACATTTACTAACATGAAATCAGACCAAGAGGGATTCTCCTGGTGCTTGTGCAGCAGAAATTTTCTTTTCTCAAGTTCCATGGTCTATAACTTTGAAACGTTGCTTTGCTCATCACTTTCAGTTGAAAACCTCATTATGGCTTTCAATCCCTTTCGCTGACACTCTATCACCGCTCTTTCAATGTGTTTAATATGCGTTATGTCCCATTTATTTTTAGATAAATTTGTGAATGGAAGATGAATTAATCATATTAAGTGTAATTTTCAAGCGTTTTTTCTCGTGAGAAATGCTTTAAATATGTATTTTAATTTTCCGTCATATACGTCATGAAAACTCTGTTGACGTGTTTCATGAACGACGAAACTATCATAGTCAAGCGCCCTCACTCGTCCGCTTCACAGAAGCTTGACAGAAAACGGGAGAAAGAGAGACAAGTGATTGAAAATTTGTTTGCAACTACGACTGATGTTCTAGAATGTTGCTATTAGCAGCTTAAAGCTGTTCGACTTCAACAGAAAAAGAAAACTAGCAGTCTCTTCGTCGCATCAATTATGTCTTTTAAAGCCGATATTGTGATATTGTGTGGGATGTAGTGATAATGTAAGATAGATTGTCTTCAAATAGATCAAAATATTTTTTTAAACTTTGGTTAATTTTGCTACATTCTTATCATTTATGAATTAACGAACGTAAACAAACAATCGAAGAGTGCTGCTAGCCGATGGCGAAGAATAGCACAGCCACACCGCATCACCCAGCCACTTTTTATGCAACATTGCTTGCGACTTAGCAAGTATGGTTATTTCCGACGCATAGCAAGCGAGATGTCATTAGTGAGTCCCGTGACATTATTTTGACGTAAAGGTTGTTCAAAGAGCTACGTCCGTGTGTCTGAACTTAAATTCAACTTTTTATATGCTGACTATCTATTTTACCTTTTCAGGAAGCTTCCAGAACCAACCTCAACGAAAAATATTGAAGCTATAGATAATGTTAAACCGGAAAACAAACCTGTAAATATGCCACTCTACACGTGAAACGTACGGAACACACTACACACTAAACCAAAGAGAGCAACAATTCAGAGGGAAACCCTTTTCGATAATGCAATCAACAAATTGAAGCATGTGCCGACAAAAACAGAAACCAAAAACCATTGTTAATGTAAAGTTAGAAAAAAGGAAATTAATAGTGACAAAACAATTGCAACACAAACTAAACTAAGATCTTTTAAAGACATTCGAACTAGGAAGGTAAAAAAAACACTTAATTTTAAATTCAACAGCAAAGGAATAAACGAAGCAAAAACATTATATCACTTCGAAAAACAGAAAAAGAAAGTAAACGTTTATGTTTACAAGCAAAATGATATTAGTCGCAACACACTGATCGTCAAATGCATCGATTATTCGTCAATCGCACTCTACTAGGCTAAAGGGTATTTATAGTAATATAAAAAGTGAAAACAAAGAAAATAAAATGTTACAAAAAAGGAACGCCTGTCCATATTCTAGTCATCGTAAGCTCAGAGAGTGATTCGTAGTGACAGCAGCAAACAGCATCAGCCGCAGCAGCAGCAGCAGAAGCCAGAGAACAAGCAACATGCAAAGTTTATAGTGCACTTTTAGCTTCAGCGAAGCTTCACCGCATCTTGTCATTAATTATTGTGAACCGCCTACACCCACTAGCCTGTAGGAACCACACGGAATGGGAGAGCTACAGTCCGCCATTCAATACCCGCCCGCCCGGCCATTGTACCGCCGCCACACGATCCGATAGAAGTACGCAAGTATGGCTGTTTGTGCTCTAGGCAAGATAAAAACAAAGTCTTTGTATATAATCAATTTTATTACCAATGGATTTAGAGAGATATAACAATTTTACTAAGGCAGCGCGCTAGAGAAATTGAAAATTAAAAGAAGAAAAAAAAAGATACAAACGATTGAAAAGACTTGAATTTGAATCTAAGTTTTATCTCTTGTTTTTCTCGAGAAACCCATCTGACAGAGATGAAAATAACTGATAAATTTTCGAATAAGTGATATTCGTTTCTAAAAGAATACAAACTTTTGATTGTATATTTATTCATCAAAAACATTTATGGAAAACTGTTTGTAATACATTCGATAGAGCAAAATGCAAAAAGAACCTACATTTTCAGGACAAATACGGGGATGTATAAATACAAAGACGTCAATAATTCCAGCTATCCTTATAGATACTATACGCTATAATCTTTATATCGATGAGTGAGATGCCTCTTCATTACGTAATGTGCTCGTCGTTGGAATCGTTCTTTAGTGAGAATTTAAACGCTAGGATCATTTAATTGAAGCTAAAAAAAAACATACCTTCAGTTATGATTTGAAATGAAATATCGGTTGTGAGCGACTTCAATTTCATTGAATGTTTTCTAACATGTGAGGTTAACGTTAAAGAGACAGATTGCTAAATGAATTCATTTGTATTGCACTAAAGTGGTCAACAGTAAGATACTTTCAACTCTTTAAAAAAAAAAGGCGCGAAGCACAGTTGCAACCTATTAGCGATAAGCGATGCGCTTCCCGAAGAAAGTCGGTTAACAAAATGAAAGCAAATTGATATTAAAGTTTGTAGTTCTTATCATAATGAAAACTCATTTTGATTTCAATTTTCACGACATTAGTCAGATACCATATTGCGTTTTCATTATGCAGTCAATACTTTTTGAATTAAAGCAACTTAACTTGAAGTTCTGCTGTTAACGTCTTGTTTTAAATTTAATTTAAGCATCTGTCGTTGAACTAACGATTATTGTTTATTTGTTTTGTTCAACACATTTTAGATCTTTCATTACTTGCCCGGGGTGAGATTTGAGCTCAAGTTTTTCAGCGTGAGAAGCATGGATGCTAACCATTTACGCCAGGCCCGTACTCAGTTAAACATTATGAATGCAAAATCAGATAACAAATTGATTTCTTTGAAAGCAAGATTAGCTTTCCGCTTGATTCAACAATGTAAAAGTATGCTCTCATTTTTGCTGTGTTAACCGTTAAGTCAACCAAAATGAGATCAACTGGAGTATTCAAAATAAGTTACATTATAACAGCAAATTTTGATTTCAATTTGATCTCCAGCTTTGCTCCGGTTGTTGATGATGCTCACTCCATGAGCATTGAACGTTAGAGAAAATAATACAGCCATCCCCCGAAGCCACTGAGTTGCACCCACCGCTTTTTCTCGGCGGGGATTGAACCAGTCGGTCTGATTTTTTGCATGTGATTAGGGTCAATGGAGAACTAGTCACTCGCAGAAAATCAGACCGCTTGGTTGAAAACCCACCGAGACAAAGCGGTGGGTGCAACTCAGTGGGTAACGCGTTCTTCGGGGAAAGCTGTAAAAGCAACCAGTGCAAGTCGTGTTTGCTGTGTCCCGTTCCGAATCTAGCCGTTACTGATATTTGGACACTCAATGACGGTCAAACGGTGCCCAAATCACGATTATTGTCGAACTTGCATGCACCTCGGATTTTCTATCGCAATAAGATAGTCAATATCATAAGAAACAGGTTTTGGAAGGCTATAAAATATTTCGTCTGCAATTTTTTGAAAAAAAAATTAGTGGAGGCGCATGGTACTTTGTTACTATGAATGGTCATAATTATGTTTTAACAAGTTTAAAAATGATTTATTCCTATAAATATACACTCCGCTGCTCGTTTTCATTCAAAATGAAGACTGTTGTAAGCAGCAACGCAACTCAAGAGCTTATTATTATATTTTGATTTGGTAATAGACACCTTGTAGTTTTCCCAATTTTTTGAGAAATGTTTGTGAATCGCTTCGATAGTTTGTTTGGAGAAGTACGCTAAGCCTTTTTCTTTGCTGTTACAAAACTCCGCCACATGTTTGTGGATGATGCGGAACTTAGGAGTGAACGGAAGTTGAGCGAATTTCCACGCTTTGCAGAACTCACTGATGCGTGTACCGTAATTCTCTCGTAGTTTTGCCCCAAAACAAGCATCCATAACGTTCTGCAGTATCTCTAGCACACTAACATACTCCTTCATGGTTTAATCACTGTTGTCCAGCAAACTTCGCTTCACCAGGAGACTGCGACAATGCTTTCCTTGATGCGTGATCCAACATTGTGCTTAATCTGGATTATACTCCGAAACCTTATCAGAAATTCACCATACCTAAAAGAAGTTGCAACGGCGGAGGTGGGCAAACATCTAAGATCAATGTTTCGTTTTTTTTTTTCGTGTATAAGAGGTATTTGGACGCAGTTGAAGTACTTTTACGATGCTCTGTTTTCTTTGACGAAACCAATTGTACGCAGCGCTCCAAACTTCTCACCCAATTAATTATTTTTCACTGTGCAAAAAGCACAATGAAAAGTAGGGCTGTTGCCCATCACACCTGCTATTATATTAACGATCTTTAGATCACCTAGAAGAACATTCAAAGTTAAAACCTACCGAATAAATCAAATAATATTGATGTGTCGGTGAAAAGTGCATTCACCGTACCGAGTTCTAGTTTCGACCGAATTGTGTCTACATTTGCATAGTTCTCCTGAACATTTTCAACAAGCGTGAGGATAAAACCAACAATCAATACGAAACTAACGATTTTAAATTGGCTCACTACTTGACTAGCCTATTGGTCCCAAGCAAACGATTAACGTACCCCATTCTAATCGAAATTCTAGTACTACGCAATGTTTGTTTTGATTTGCTATGAAAGTTTGACAGATAAAATGAGGGGTTAGTGGTTTTTCCTATGTTTCGAGGGGTGAATCGACTAGCTTGGGACCGAAGAGAGTACCAGAGCTGAGCCAAAAAGTTGAGCACGTTATTTCGGGACCTTCTAGTCTTAGAGTTACCTCTATGATAAAACAGCGCTTAACTCCAGAGTCCTTGAACTCTGACTGGTAAGAACTCTGACTGGTGTTTATCTTCAATAATACGGATGAATTTTGAGCGAGCCTTGGCCGCCGTCGATTCCCACTAGCAAACGTCCATCCCGTATGTTTCGTCGACCTATCAAGTAATCAATGAAACCAAATACTGATCGACAATAAACCAATTCTCGATAACTTTTTCAAAGGTACGTAGCAGCTTGTGTGAACAATGTATTTGATCGTCGATTTGGCGTAACTGGCAGCTCGCTCACACATTCTAACACTACCTTCAGACAGGGGAAGGTTCCCCTACCTGTTAGTGGTGCTAGTATGCGTGTGCGAGCTGCCAGTTACGCCAAATTGACGATCAAATGCATTGTTTACAAAAGCTGATACGTCCCTTCGAAAAAGTAATCGAGAATTGTTGTTCGGTGTAACTCGTTACACTGCCGCTAGATTTCGAAAAGGTCGTTATCTCAACGACAAAAAAAATCGTCAATATGTCAAGACATTTTTCAACCCAAATTGAATGGACACATAGTTGGATTCGTGGAGGGCCCGAGGATGTTTGGCAGTCTTTAATGAAATTCAATTAATTAAATTGCAATCTATTTAAACAAAAAACCCGTCAATAATTTGACCATAGTATTCTTACCGCTTGAATTCCTCACGAATTTATCAACATCGCCGCCAGCCATTTGGGCTCCATTTTTAAGCTTGGCATCCTTCGAGAAATCATGTGATTTTTCCGGATGAATAACCGTGAAGCATTTAGAGCAAACCTTCACTACATTTGGTTTTTCGTGAGAAGAACATTTGACTTTATCCACTGAAACTTTCTGTTCCTTCATTGGTTTGCTTAAATGATTTGATCGAGCAACTGGAGACAGCTTACAGGAGTGTTGGTTGAGCCCTCGTGGTTACTGTAACATCCTTACTGTAATCGTGTACTTTCACAGTTCGGTGTTCCAAGCCTGCTTAAAATAGGTTCATTTGATATTATTCAATGAGCTCAAAAATTTGATCTTGTTTAAATTATCTTTCGATCTTCGGTAAACGGGCAGATAGCAACATCCGCACAGTACTTTCGGATATATTTTATCAATTTCATTGTATGTATCAATTTCAAATTGTGACACTGCAACATAGCTTGATTTAGATTCGTTTGACACATACTGCGCAAAAGTATTTTTACAAGAAATACAAGGTGGGCACATTGTGTAGTGATGTGAGTACAGTTGTCAAATTATTTCCCGGGAACAACATAATCAGTGTCAGTCCAGGCACTATTTCGTAAATAAAAAAACTGAAGTTAAGAATGCTTGTTTCAACCTGTCGAAATTATTATTATTAGTTTATAATACTCCATCCATAGTAGCATGGTTCTTTGCAGCCTCTATTGAAAATATTAAAAAAATATATATATAAAAATCATATAGGAGAATTTACGTATTCTCGTCAATCTAAGCAGCTTCCGCACTTCTATTAGCATTTTCTCAGGGTCACGCACACATATGACGTGTCTGTTTGATTACATTCATCTGCTGCTAGCTATTCTATCCATTCCAATTGACAGAACTGCCCAAAACGGTTTGAAAACGTTTTTAAGGCGCTCCAAACTTCTCAGGTGAGTGTGACTATTGTCGGCAACCTCTTTTACTTCGACGACCTTTCCTTTTAAACTGCGTGTTAACCAGCTGTTCTATTATCGGCAACTCGAAATCAGCCGTATTTTGATGTGCTTATGTTTCATTTGAAGAAACACCTGGCGTAGCAGGTTTGCTCAGTCGTAAACATGTATTAGGATTGAAGCTGAACGACTAAGGAATCGTTTTAATACATTCAGCGAACTGTTTTAAAGAGAAAATAAAGCGAAATTAACGTTTAAATTGTGGCTGCGAAAACAGTCGATAGGTTTCGAAGCCATCATTTACCTTATTTATTTTTTTCAAAAAATTGCCGACGAAATATTTTCTAGCTTTTCAAAATTTGCTTCTACCCAGACAACCAGAAGTCGTATAACAATGTACAGACAATATCGTAAATTGCTACAGTTTAAGTCAAAATCGCATTTAAGAATGGCATACTTCGCATTATGTTTAAGTTAAATCGTATAGAATGCATATTTCCGACTTATTTGCGATGACTCATTTTTCCGTTGTACTGTATCACAAATTAAATTAGATTACATCGTAAGACCTTTCAAAATGAATTTGTTATTACATATTAAATCGTATATGATGTTAAATCAACTCGTTTAAAATAAAAATTAAAATATGCACGTATATGGCCTCCACTTTTGTACGTATAAGCCATTTCTTTGCATTCTATACGAATTGTTTGTATGCATATATGTTTGTATATCACGAAAACGACTTTGAATATACGTGCATTCTGGTTGTCTGGGTAATGCTATTGAGTATCTTTCTGCGAAAGAAAATCCAAGGTACATGCAAGTTCGATAATACTAATCGTGTTTCATTTCCATATGCGAATGTGTTGGTGCATGCGCTGATAAAAAGTCGTTAGCAATGATTTCAAATTTCACTCGTTTCTGTGTTTCTCATCATCGTGTTTCTCATACTGATAAAAGTAGCTTATTTGAGTATTTTTCAGATCAGAGATTATTACTACAATGATATTCGTGAGAGCATCGCGATTTCATACATCATTGTTAGTGTCTCAAAAATGACAAGATGTGTTTTTTATGCCCTATTGTGAAAGCGGTCAGTAACTTTTTATTTATTCCAGTCAATTCCTTGGCTTACGGACTGTGTCCAAATGTTGCCTTGCTTACCTAGGCAGTGTCTTATCGTTACCCACATTCATCTATTTTAAGATTTTAAAATGGCCAGGCAACATTTAACTTACTTCAAACGATTCCAACGCACGTAATAATCTTTCCTATTCCAAATATAAAACCCTCTTCCTACATTCAAAAACACATTTTCATATGACATTCAGATATAAAAAAATATAATCAAGAAAATCGTCCTGGACAATCAATTATTTGCAGCGCAGTGAACTGTCAAATCAAAAACTCATCTAAAATCATTATTTATTCAGCATTACAGGTGACGATAGAAGTAAACAACCGAATTTCAATCTGCAATCTCTACCCCATTTATACAACAAATACACACAAACACCTTCAATCACAATCCAAAAGAGAACAATCACAAACACACACACTTTTTCCGTGTCTCACTGTTGTACACTCTGAAATCAAATCAACATCACTTTTCCGACCGTTTGACTTTAGCAACAACGTATGAGGATAACATACATTATTCGAAAGCAATACAATCTCTAATATATAAATTAGGCATGATTTCCAAGAAAAAGACCGAAAGATGAACTAAAAACAAAACATTTATATACAAAAAGAAAACACTTTCAATAGCAGAAAACAGCAGCAGCAGCAGCAACAACAACTACTACAACAAAAACAACCAGAGCTATTGCTTGATATTACGTTTCATATCACAACACGTTCTCTACCTTTCTTTTGCTGCAGCAGCGAAATAGCTTTCACGTCTAGAAAGCAAGCAAAAACTTCTTCTCAATTACACGCAAAATGCTAAAATTAAAACAAAAATAAAACGAAGAAACAAGTTTAAGAAACAGTTCGCAACGGGGTTGTTTAACAATAAGTCAAGAAACGAAGAGATGTAAGCTTCTTTGCTCTCTCTCTCTCTCGAAAAAAAAAATACAAAATAGAGTATGATCATTTTTAGCAAAAGATGTAAAGAAAAACTTTCAAAGAAAACCAAACAAAAAAGCAAAAACGATATGAATCTAATGAAGAAGGAAGTTTAAAAAAAATGATGGCTTATATCTGTGATTTAAATAACTAAAAGAATAAAGGTTAAAGAATGTTAGTAAACAATGTACATTAAAAGAAAAAAAAAGTAAATTTAAAACTATGTTAACATTGAAATATAACAAAAATGTGCTTTTTAAATATTTTCGATTTAAAGACATTATATATATACAAAGAAGGAAAAGGAAAAAAAAATCTGTAAAGAAGCAACTACCAAAAACAACAGCCGAAATCGTTTAGATCGTAACAACCCAGGAATAAACAAAAACAGAAAAAAGAAATACATTATATTAAAGCTATATATATAAATGTGTAAAAAAAAACTAATTCTATAGAAACAGAAAAAAACAGTGCTAGGTAATAAGCGTAACTATATGAACCAGTACACATATTAAGTAGCAAAATGTAACGTCGGATTCAACACGCGGTGTAATCGACGGATTATATACACACAGTGTAGCTTATTGTTTCGGAGTTTGATTTCTTTTATTGTTTTATTCAAGAAAACGCTAGTCATTAGGTCGTAAGAAGGATTTATTTACGTGCAGGAGTTAAACGTTAGTTGAAGTGAGAATTGATTAATAGATAGTTTTTAAATATTGTTATAGTTTAAATTTATTATTTAAATTTGATTTTTTGGCAGTGAAGATTCTAGTTTTTAGTAGGAGATCGAACCACACACGAAATATTTGCTAGTCATTTTGAATAAGTGCAACGATGTTACTCATGTTGTTTTTATTTTTATTCTGTTCATGTTACATGGTTTGAGTTCTGTTAATTTCTATAGTTTTAATAAATGAGTATATTTGAATTATTATGCTAAAATAAGTGTTTCATTCGTTGTTGTTTCTATACAACTCCTTACTAACAACAGAGGTATCGATCGTGTTAAACAAAATGGCAATTTTCAGTGTTTGAACAAAGTGGCAAATAATCAGTCGAGTAATAACTTTTTCAGCAAAATCGTTGCATGTTCGATTCCCAGTCCGATGGAGGAATTTTTCAGGATGAATTTATTGTCAAGCCACTCTGTTTCTAGTCGTTTTTACCCAATATTGAATTTCTTCTATGAGCGCTAAGTCGAGTGAAAAACGATAGCTCAGTGACTGATTCTAAGTGATAATTCTTCTGTAATAATACGTCGCATTTGCTCACTGATATTATTTTCCTCAAGATGAGCTAATAGCTCACAGTACTGCCCAGGTGGCAAAACACCGAGTTTGTGCATCATTACACGACCGCACATTCGTTTGTATTTATTGGTATCAATCATGCTCGTCTCTCTCGGATATTTTCTACCTACCTAGCTCATGGACGAATAGTAGTAACAATCAAAGAAAATGTATGGAAATGTGTTGTATTTTTGTTGAAAAATCAGTGTTTACAAAAAGTAATGATTATGAAAATTGTAGATGGAAGAAATATTAAGATCTTTGTATAAATTTCTAGCCAGAAT